CATCCCCTCTCATCCAAGCGGAGATTACCTCCGGCGGGACGGTTCCTCGGAATCGTTCTTTCGCCTTCTGTAAGGCGTTGACTTCGTTGACCTCGAAGCCCTCCCAGTTGTTACCGCGTATGTAGCCATACACGGCGTCGTTGACCCAGTCCGTGGCGGCCTTGCGCTTGCGGGCTTTTGAGGGAGTAGGGGGAGCAGAAGGAGGCATAGTACGAAAGGAAGGAAGGAAAGATACGGGAGATAGTAAGCTATAGGTTTGCTAAAGGAGAAAGGATACGTACGTCGAAAAACATCAAGTCGACAAACCCCCTCGGGGGTCTTATACCTTTCACATTTCGAGAACAAGACAAAAGAGACCTAGGTAGCAACTACTAGGACAAAGCAAGAAGTCGTTACTTCGAACACGACAAAGAGAATACAGCGATATCGGTTAGAAAGGACGTCGATACATACGACATCACCTTTGTTTACATCAACGAACAATACCGCGGACAGGACCATGTTGCAATGTCCGCGGGGAAGACAATAGAAGATAGACGCGCGACGCGTCATCGTCGTCGGCTAGGCGTTTCAGACGGGTCGACGACACCGATAGACAATAGGTTCTTCATTGCAGCACCCACGGGCGCCGAGCAGTGTTTCAGAAAGAACCAGTGTACCTAGGCGTACAAATCGAAGGTTCTAGACGATCTCTTCGGAGACAATAGAGCGGAGGCACGAGGAGAGTCGCGGGGGTACAGACACTGGACGTTTCGAGGGAACAAAGAACTTCAAGATGAAACGTCTACTCTAGCCTCGGACTACTCGACTACTTTGGGCAATCTGGAATCTCGCCCTAAGGGGGGGATCCTATTATAGGCATCCGCGGTACGCATGTCGTACACACGCGGGATGTAGGTTTTCACCTCGTACGGAGGTCCGTTCGGAGACTCTCTCGGAGACTCTCTCGGAGACCTATTAGGAGATGTGTTCGAAGATGTCTAACTAGCACCTTGTAGTAGTTAGAGATCCGTTATTACATTCATTACCCTACCCGTACCCTCTAGTCCCGTGTGTTACTATTCAGGTTTGCTGGCAAACCTTATACTAGGTATCCCTTGGCTGCGGAGACACAATCCGCATATCCAATGGGACTCCAACGCGGTGACGTTCGGGGATGTCTGCATCAGCACGGGATGTCTCAAGAGGCCCGAGACGGTGTATGCTCTGGACGAAGTAGAGGTGGAGACACGAGGGATCGACCCGTTCAAGAAGATGAAGGGGTCTATCACGGAGGATTTGGTCGTCGCACAAATGCAGATGACCCGGGAGGACGACGAGCGGGCGAGGCGCCCGGACCTGTGGGATTGGGACGTCAAACCTACAGACTCGTTCCAGGATGACCTGGACCCTCCCGAATATATGGAGAAGCTGAGGGACATGGTACCGGAGAAGTATCATGAACATCTTGGAGCGTTCTCCAAGACGAAGGCAGATACACTGCCCCCGAAGCGATCGATCGACCATGCGATCGAACTCAAACCCGGTACGTCGCCGACGTATCAGAAGCTCTATAACCACTCCCAGCGGGAGAGTGAGGAGCTAAAGAAATGGTTGAAGGAGAATCTGGAGAAGGGGTTCATCAGGCCGTCGAAGTCGCCCTGCTCGAGCCCGGTACTGTTTGTACCGAAGAAAGGCGGCGAGATGCGTATGTGCATCGACTACCGTCGCCTTAACGACATTACGGTGAAGGATAGGACGCCCCTACCCCTCATCTCAGAGACGCTAGACAGGTTGAAGGGCGCGAAGGTCTACACGAAGATGGACCTCCGAGGCGCGTACAACCTGCTACGCGTAAAAAAAGAAGACATTTGGAAGACCGCGTTTACTACACGTTTCGGTCTGTTCGAATGCTTGGTCATGCCGTTCGGCTTGACCAATGCCCCCGCTACCTTTCAGCGGTGGATGAACGAGGTCTTTCAGGACCTTTTGGATGTGTGCGTCGTCGTTTACCTCGACGACATACTTATTTACTCCTCCGACCAGGAGACCCACGATGGTCAGGTCAAGGAGGTTATGAAGAGGCTGCAGGCAAATGGCCTGTATGCGAAAGCGGAGAAGTGTGAGTTCGATACGGTGGCTACCGAATTCCTGGGGTACGATATTGCCCCGACGGGGGTTAGTATGAACCCCTCTAAGGTCAAGTCCGTTTTGGACTGGGCCCCCCCGAAGAACATTCGGGGACTGCAGTCCTTCTTAGGATTTGCAAATTACTATCGTAGGTTCATTCAGAACTACTCCAAGAAGATTCAGGGAATGACGGCCCTGACGAAGAAAGGGGTGAAGTACTCCTGGACGGCAGCCGCTGACGCTGCGTTCCGGGAATTGAAGGAGTCCTTCACCCAGGCGCCTATACTGGCGCACTACAACGAGGAGCGCCAAGTGGTGCTCGAGACCGACGCTTCCTCTGGAGCGATCAGCGCGGTAATGTCCCAGGTAGGGGACGATGGGAAGCTCCACCCGGTAGCGTTCATGTCGAAGAGCCTGACGCCCGCCGAGAGGAACTACGATGTGCACGACAGGGAACTGTTGGCCATCGTTTATTGCAGTCGGATATGGCGACATTATCTCGACAACAAGTACCCCGTTCGGATCCTCACGGATCACAAGAACCTGGAGTACTTCAAGAGGGACAAGGTATTGTCTCAACGGCAGGCGCGATGGTCGCAGCTGTTGAATCAGATCTCCTACACCCTGGAGTACAAACCGGGAACGGAGAACGGGAAGGCCGACGCGTTGAGTCGGCGGGAAGAGTTGATGGAAGAGACAGAACCGAAGCGAGCGGAGACTCTGCTCCGGCCTGTCGAAGACGCACCCTCTGAGGGGTGTAGTCCGGTTGAGCGACCGCCTTTGCGGTTGAATGGCACCATCCCCGCACTGGGCGATTGGATGGTGAAAGCGCTGATACCGGCGGCGCAGGACGATCCGGTGGCGAAAGAGCTCGTAGCGCAGCTCAAGGCGGGGACCTTGGCGAATGAGCGATACAGCCTGAGCCCCACTGGAGTTCTCCTGTACAACGGGTTGGTGTATGTTCCCAACGCAGGGAACATCAAGGTAGAGCTGATGAAGCGTCTACATGACGGGAAAGCCGCCGGCCATTGGGGGCGGGACAAGACCGTGGAGCTGACCAGTAGAGACTTCTACTGGCCTGGGATGGCGAAGTGGATCGGGGAATACGTCGCTAGCTGCAGTATATGTCAGCGCAACCGGCGACCCCGAATGAAGCCTGTCGGCGAGCTAGCGCCGCTACCGGTACCGGCAGGGCCCTACGAGTCGATCACTTGGGATCACATCACGGATCTGCCCGAGTCGATGGGGTCCAACTCGATCCTGGTGATCGTCGACCGATTCAGCAAGCGGGCGCACTTTATCGCTTGTCAAAAGGATAACGACGCCACGTTCTTGGCGCGGTTGTTCCTTGACCGATGGGTGTGTTTGCATGGGTTCCCGAAACAGATCATTTCAGATCAAGGTACGTTGTTTACCTCGCGCTTCTGGAAAGATCTGTGCCGCATGGCGAACGTGGAGAACAGCTACTCCACGGCGTTCCACCCGGAGACGGACGGTCAGACCGAGCGAAGTAACTCCACCTTGGAGCAATACTTGCGGTCGTACGTCAACTTCCTCCAGGACGACTGGGCGGAGTTACTCTCCATGGCGGAGTTCGCGTACAACAACGCGAAGCACTCTGCCATCGGGATGTCGCCATTCATGGCGTCCGAAGGAAGAGAACATACCTTCTCCCTACCGGTGCCCGGCACTAGGGAGGAGGCGGTCGAGTCGGCGGGAGAGTACCGAGACCGACTCGACGGGATCTACAAGTCGGTGAAGGAGGCGCTGGAACAAGCGCGACAAGACATGGCAAAGTACGCAAATCGGAAGCGTACCGCCGTCCCTGACGAGGGCTACAACGTAGGAGACTTGGTGATGTTATCCACCAAGAACTTGACATCGGTGCGTCCCAGCCAGAAGCTCTCTATGAAGACGCTGGGGCCCTTCCCGATCACGGAGATCGTCGGCCAGAGCAAGATGGCGAGGAGGCTGGAACTCCCCGCGCAATTACGCCGGGTACATCCCGTTTTCCACGTGTCGTTGCTTATCCCCTATCGGGCCAACGAGCTGGAGGGAAGAGAGGTGGTTGAGCCACCTACCCCCGAAGTCCTCGACAACGGCGACTTGGGGTATGTTGTGTCCGAGATCGTACACTCGAAGGCGTTACGATCCGGAAGGTCCGGGAAGAAGACCCAATACCTGGTGCGATTCGAAGGGTACGGGGACGAGTCGAACGAGTGGGTTAGCCCCGCCGAGTTCGACCACGACGACAAGGTCGTCACGGCGTTCCACAAGCGCTACCCCCATCTACCGCAGCCCGGTCGACAGGAGTACGCCGACGCTTGATGCGTTCGGAGTCCGCATCTAGGGGGGGGATCCTGTTATAGCGATCACGTGACGCGTCGGACGCGCCGTACGCGACTCCCGTATGCGACTCCCGTCGGGGGTACTTCTCGGTGTTGTTGTTCTGATGTAGAACTAGTACCTCTGTAATAGCTCTACATCCGTTATTACATTTAGATGTCTACCCGTACCTTGCCTCATTCCTGCGTCCCGTCAGCCTGTCCAGGGGGATCCCCGCCGGGGGCCGCTCCCGGGCCTTACAGTCGGTCTCTCCCATACGGAGAGAACCTAGCGAGGAAGTCGATGAGGGACGTGCTCGAGCGGGCCAGGAGATCGCGGCTGCTGTGGCCGATGGGCAGATCAGTGACGAGGAAGCTGGTCTGATGAGCTTAGCGACTCGGGCGCTCTCGATTGGGACGAGTTCGGCGGGTGTGTTTGGTTCTGTTTATTCGCTGTTGTATATGTCACTGATTCAAACGATTGTGTCATTGCTTCTTTGCTATATAGAGAGTAACGGGCAAGAACAGGCGGAGCCCGTTGTCGAAAGGGACCTCGAAGATGTCGGGATGGAGGGGCCTCAACAGGACTTCGAACAGGACGTCGATGTGCCGATGGAGGAGGACGTTCTGGCCGTCAGGACGCCAACGCCAGGCAGGGCGGGGCATGATGATGGAGGGGTGATGGACGAGATGGAGTTGGCTGGGGAGGATGGTATGTTCATGTTTCACTTGCTTGCGCTTGTTCTTTCCAGTTCGTTTTGCTAATGAATAGGATGATTGTGTCACGTAGCCGTAAGCGAGGCGGAAGAGGAGGCGGCCCCGGCCATCTCGCCGGAAAGGAAGGCTGCGTGGCTGAAGAAGTCCAGGAAGATGGCTGACCAGCGCCGTCGCTCTCGGCGTCCCGAGAGTCCTTCCCCTTTGGGCACCCGGCCGATCGCCCCTCTTGGGTCGGCGACATCTCCTCGAGCCAGACGTGAGGCTCGACAAGGGTCGGACGATCCCGACCAACGGGAGGCAGGGCAGATCTGGGCGGGGTATTGGGGGACCCGGTCCCAGAGACGGGCGAGAATGGAGGAGGAGGAGGATGAGCTTGAGTCGGTTCAAGCGTGTAAGTTAGGACTCATCACATGGCTTTCACCGTTCATGTTGCTGATGATGACTATGTATGCCTCTATCTACTTAGCTTCGGATTGGGCGAGGCCAACGCCGACGAAGAGGATCAGGAGGGTCCCCGCCCGGAATCCTCTCAGCCCAACCAAGCAGGGCACCCGGGCTGGCCCCGACAACAACACCCAGGCTGGTCCTGGACCTCAAACTCGCGCCAACCGCGCTGCCACCTCGGCCGCCTCGTCCCCGGCCAAGTCTCCTCGCAGGAAGCCCAAGCCTGCCACCTCGTCCCCTGCCGCGACGCCCACCAAGGGTAAAGGTAGGGCGACATCCACCAAGGGTGGTAGGGGCCAGGCCAAGGCTGAGATCAAGCCCGAGGTCAAGCAGGAGCCGAGTGCGGGGACGCTCCTGAACCACGCGGTAAGTGACCGATCCTCCCCGACTGGTCGGTCAAGAGTTGGTGGAGCTGATCTTTGTTGTATGACTTCTCTCAGAAGGCGAAACGGCGCCAAGAAGATCCCGGTGCGGTCGAGTTTCTCGGAGACGAGAGGTGCGACACCTGTCGTAGCCTCGGAGCCTCGAAGGGTGGGGACGAACCGTGGTGGGGTTGCTGGAGAAACCCAAACTCCAAGAAGGAGCGCTCCTGCTCCCACTGCGTGGCGGTTCGTGCGAAGTGCTCGTTCAACGACGAGCCCAGGCACGTTGACCCGCCCGCGGCAGGTCCCAGTACAACTGGGCTGAGCCAGGAGTGGGTGAACGGTTTGGCTGCCCGGCTCGACCGAGCGATCGGAGGGATGGAGGTGGGTCTCGGAGTCCTGAACTCGATGGCCGCCACTGCTCTTGGAGAGCCAGCCAACAACATGTTGGCCGAGCGGATTCAGGAGTTTTCGGCCGTGAGCGCGGACCTCCGCCGTGGTCCCTCTGGGTCGACCGCTGCCGCCGCCATCGAGGTTGAGGCTGACGACGAGGACGAGGAGGACGAGGAGGAGGAGGAGGAGGAGGAGGAGGAGAAGGAGGAGGACGAACAGTAGGACCTTGAAGGTCTACGCCTCCGGTTCTTGTTCTTATAGGATAGGTTGTATTCTACCCCGAGAGGGTTTAAGACTCAGATTCTTTCTATTTATTTCATTTTAGATCAAGGATCCTTCGAAAGATATTCATCATCGTCAGCGAGACCCTCGTAGGGGTGGTGGGGGTCCGCTACCATAGTAACGAACGCTCCTGGGGAGGGTGGATGACTGACCCGACCACCGAATGGTGGCGATCGCCGAGAACTTGGAAGATTGCCACGAGGGCAGGATCGACATCGACATCGACGAGCAAGAAGCATTGCGGGTCGAAGCCGTCGGTGTAGTTTGCGGCGGTCGTTGAGGGAGTGAACTGCGGGGTGAGTGGAACGGACTCGACTCAGACGACGGGCGTGGGTGAAGACGGCACGAAAGAACCTTCGGTGTCAAGTCCTGGACATCAACAAGAGGTACTTCTTCATATTCACCATATCCCCTAAATCCTCTGTTCGCTCGTTCGACCAGGGCGCATTCTACCTCAGGGCAACACCGACGGCAACACCAACGGTTTCGCGAGCCTGCACCCCAATGTCACCGACCATTGTCTTTCGCTCGGAACCCCTCGCCCAAATCCCCGGCTTACAAGGGCAGTACTTCTTCCAGGGTGCGCCTAATCTCTCATCATCTGTTCTGCATACCCACTTGCGCACGCTCAAGCACATAATCCGATTGCGATTGGTCACGGACACCTATCTGACTGCCGCTTGGACATGATCGGCGCACCGACCCAACGTGACCAAGCGCTACGATACTGAAGAACAAGCACATGGTCGGCCAAGACGTTCCCCTGCGCTGCAGGACGATGAACTTCGCATGGGACGATCAAGGGGCAACTATACAGGCGGCAACGTATGAGTACAACATCCTCGAACGACCCTCAACGTTCGACAACATCCTCGAACGACCCTCAACGTTCGACAACACCCTCGAACGACTCCCTTCCGTTCCCATGTCGACATCAGCATACACTCTGAACGTCCGACAACATCCCAGAACTACCCGCCCATGTCGACATCGGCAAACACCCTCAACGCCCGACAGCATCCTCGGACCACCCTCACCCTCAACGCCCTAACCCAACGCCCGACAGCATCCTCGGACCACCCTCTTCTCCAGCACGATTCCCTCTCCCCCTCTCAGACGGTCCACTCCGACCCCTACAAATGTTGTTCTGTGAGAAGGAAAGCCCGATTCAGCTCTCCCATGGGTTTCACCGACCCTCGGCCGACTGGCGGGCAAACTGGGGGGGTAGACTCACTATCGCAGCTGCACCTTGGGCGGTAACACCGATTGCCAGTGTCACGGCGCTCACGCCTGTTCGCCAATGTGGCAGGCTCAGTGGCAGGCTCAGGACGAGGGCGACCCTCCTGAGGTCTGGGCGATCGTCGTCGGCGATAGCCTCGTCCCCTTGCAGGGAGAGAGGGAGGAGGAGGTTGATCGACCGAAGGCTCAACTGCAGGCCTGACTGGAGGCGGCAACGGAGGAACCGGACCACTGCGGTCTGAGTACGCAGCTGGACGTTCGTCCTGCGGGGGAGGAACGCCCGGGACAGAGACAGGCTCGACTTGGTGCGGGATCTCCCTCGGAGGCGTCATCCCGGCTTCTGCTGCAAGACCGAATCCCTCGGGAGGCCCTGCTTGCATAAGGACTTCCCCAATACGGACTTCTCTTGCATAGGGCGGTACAGGATCATTGACATCTCCTTCTGGGTTGTCCAGATTGCCCGACCGGAACCGATTACGGATGTGACGTGAAGCCAGCAGAGGATCACCCTGCTGGATGGCCGATAACGCCCTAGCGCGACTTCCCTCATCAAGACCTTGCAACAGTGCTTGCATATCTCTCAGGGTGGCTTCTATGGCACGTCGTCTACCCCCCAGAGGTTGTGGTCGGGCGGGATTTGCCGCTATCGGCCGACCTGTCTCTCCCGCGTATTGGATTTCGGGAGTCACGGAACGTTCTTGAGGTTGCGCAATTGTCCTGCCAGAGGCGTTCTGAATACTCCTCTGCGCAGGGGTGGCGGGTCCGGGAGAGGGGCTATCCCTGACAGTCCGTTGGCTCTCCTCAATCGGACTTGGCAAACGATCTGGACGGCTATGTTCGGTTCGAGCGACCTCACCGACGACCTCACCGACCGGTCGGTCATCTGGTCGGTCTCTTGCGCTTTGGACAGCCTGCCTGTCCTCGGGGGTGTGAGCTCGAGGCTGGCTACCTCTGGGCGGCTCATCCTGGGACAGGTTGATCAAACCTAAGACGTCAGCGTCGATCGACCGCTCTCGTTCGAGAGATGCCTGACGTCCGTCAAGGTCGAATCCACTCCAACCTTCGTCAGCTTGATCATTCCATCGGTTCTGCCGCACTGCGGCGAGATCCTCTTGTAGGGGACCGGCTAGATCCTCCATGCTAGGAGTCTGGAGTGTAGCTGTAGACGCCAGGGGAGATGGAGCTGGTGTAGCCTGGTCAGTGAAGAACAGTGGCTCAGCGCGATCACGAAACC